CCCCTCAGAACCACCACAGAGAAATTCTGCGCCCACCTGACTACGTGAAAGCTTCACAAGGAAAAAAAAAAGTTTTCATCAGCTCTGCCCAAAACTGCGCATCAAAGCGGTCCTTTGTTCCAGGATGGCTGGGCACCCTGCCCGTCCCAGTCACCGGATGGGAATGTCCCCCGCCCCACGCCGCAGAGGAGCGGTACCTGGCTGCCTGCAGCGGCTTGTCCAGCGCCGGTGCTCGCGGAGGCGGCGGAGGAGCGGCGGCCGCGGCGCTGCGCGGCTCCGTCTGCCGCGCTGCCCCGGGAGCGAGCAGCGGCGCAGGCACCCGGCGCTCGGCAGCCAACCACACTGCGGCAGGGGGAGGGGAGGGATGCGGACAGGCTCCGGGAACAGGACGGTCGGACGCTCTCCTGGGAGCGCAGAAAGCGCCACGCACGCCAAGCTCACAGCTCCCTCCTCAGGGATCCACCGGAGCGCCCAGCAGCAGGGCCGAGCCCCCGCGGCGCCGCCGAATGCTGCCCGGGCAGCTCTGGCCACCACCGGGCTCCTGTTCAGCCCGGCAAAGCCCTGTTCCATCCCACCCTCCATCCTGTGGCGGAAGGTTTCACATCCTGTACCACCCTCGCCTGCGTCCCCACTGCTGACCCCATTCCAGCCCAAAGCCAAGCTGGTGTAGCTGCAGAGAGACCTCCAGCTGCGTGGCTGCTGTCGCTGTGCCCACAGCAATGGCCACATTCAGGAGATCGGGGAAGGCTGGAGCCCTGTGGTGTCCACACTGCAGTGTGGGGCTGGGCTGGGTACTGCTGGGAAGCACTTGTTCAGTCTCTGGCTGCTCTTCTCAGAGGGAGGACGATGACACAGGATCCAGCTTGGATTGTTGCTACCGCCATCCCATGCATGGTAACACACAGCTGTCATGGTGCTCCCTACACCTGCCTGAACCAGTACTGCACTGGTGTTCCTGTCCCTGCCCACAGATTTCCCCAGAAGGGCAAGGGCTTCAGGTGTCCCAGGAGGAACACAGCCCAGCCCAGCCATGCTGACATGCAGGTTCTCTCTTACCTTATCTCACAACACATATTTCTTTCCTAAAGCACCTTGCTGTCCTCCATTCCTTAGTTCTGGAGGGCAAATCTGGCTGGCTGTGCCATACAGCTATGGCACGCTTACATGTCACATAAGTTACACAGCAGAAGTGCACACATATATTATTTGTGTTACAGTGAAAGCCATTCCGGGCAATGAAGACACAGACTAATTATAGAGCAGTGAATCCCGCAGTCTGTGCCCACAGCACGCTGGAAACAGCCATGGCCGGGTCTTGGGGCTGACCCACAGCTGCCATGCACACACTCCGCTCTTCCCTCGGGGGCTCCCGGCCTCCGCCGGCCGTCCCTGCGTGGCAATCGGCCCTGCCCGCGGGGAGGCCAGGCGCACCGAGCCTGCGTACCGGGAGCTGCCCGAGCAGAGCGGGCACCGGCAGGGCTCCGGAGCCAGCGGCTCCCCCGGTGCTGAAGGGGTTGATCCCGCAGGGCGCGCCTCGCCGGCTCCAAAGTCCGCAGAGCCGGCAGCGCCCTCAGCGCCGACCCGCAGCGTTACGGCGGGCACGGCCCCAGTGCTGCCCTCGCCCCCGCTCGTTCCGCTGCCCCAACGGCCAGGGTGCGCTAGGACGGTCCCCGAGCCACGCCAGCCCCACTACAGAGGCCTCCCCAGCTCCCCGCGAGGGTCCCACCGCCCGCCGCGGCTGGCGGGGGAGCGTCGCCCCGGGAAGGCCGCCCCCGCTCCGGCCTGCGCCGCGGCGCTCCGTGTGTCCTCCCCACGCCAGGGCCGCCGAGGGGAGCCACCGAGCCCTCACAACCCCGCCAGTCCAACCTGCTGGGCGCAAGACGTCGATGGCGGTCCCGGTCGCTGTCCCGGTCCCGGCGGGGGCGGGGCGAGACCCGCTCCGGCACCACCCGCCCTCTCAGCGGCGCAGCCCCTTTAAATCCAAGATGGCCGCCGCCTCAGCGCCGCCGGCGGCAGCGCGCCACCTGCCGGTGGCCCCTGCTCGGGCCCGCGGCGGCTCCGCCCCGTCCGGCGGCGCCTTCCCGCGGCCATGGCGGCGCTGGGGCTCTGCCGCGCCTTCGGTGCTCTCCTGCTGTCCGCGGGCCCCCGCCGGGCCCGGCCCCCGGCGCTGCCGCCCGGCCCCCAGCCCTGCCTGCCGGGGCCGATGTCGGCGCTTGCCGCCTGCCGCGGGCTGGGCGGCTCGGCGCCGCGCTGCACCACCGACCCGCTGTGGAAGTGCCGGGCCAAGTACACCGTGCGGCCCCTGGGCATGAAGAAGACGGGCGGCCGCGACCACACAGGTGTGCGGGACACGGGAAGGCGGGCGCAGGCGGGCTGCCGGGGCCGGCTGGGCGCGGGGGGTCCCGCCTGCAGCCGCTCCCGTGTCCCGCAGGCCGCGTCCGCGTGCGGGGAATCGGTGGGGGACACAAGCGGCGCTACCGCATGATCGACTTCCAGCGCCTGCGCTACGAGGAGGGGGCCCCGCCGGAGCCCTTCACCGAGAAGGTCATCAGCGTCCGATACGACCCTTGCAGGCGAGTGCGGGGTGCGGGCTCGGCCCCGGGCCCGGGCAGTGGCGCCAGCCGTGGCCCCCCGCTCACCCGCGGCGGGTTCTCCGTGCAGGTCGGCTGACATCGCCCTGGTGGCCGGCGGCAACCGCAAGCGCTGGATCATTGCCACGGAGAACATGCAGCCAGGGAACAGCATCACGAACTCGCCTCACATTAGCAGGATGGCAGGTGCACGCCAGGGCCAGGGGCAGCTGTGCCGGTCTTGCCAAGGGCTCGTCGGCTGCTCCTTGCCCAACTTGTCAGCTTCTGTCTTCCAGTGTCAGCCAGTGAAGGGGACGCGTACCCGCTGGGGGCTCTGCCTGTTGGCACGCTGATCTGCAACCTGGAGAGCCACCCTGGGAAGGGAGCACAGTACATCCGTGCAGCTGGTATGTCCCCACACAGGCAACCCACTCTTTGTAGGGGTTTGGCTGAGCACAGGTGGAGAGGAGGCCAGTGACAGGGAGTTGCCATTTCATGTTAGAGTGCAACACATCCCTCCAGAAAAGCAGGGGCAGCTCTGCCCTGTTAATTCCTCAAGGCTCTGTCTTCAGCAAGAAGTGCTGAAGTACAACAGTGCTTTGGGGAGTTACCAGCATGGGGATGTGCTTGTCACAGGGTGGGATACTTTGTCCTGCTGCTCAGTGCAGCTGCCTCCTCTCTTGCCTTCTGCAGGTACTTGTGGAGTGCTGCTGCGGAAGGTGAACGGGACAGCCATCGTGCAGCTGCCGTCCAAAAGGCATATGCAGGTAAAGGAGCTCTGCTGTCCCTGGCTCGACTGCCTGGGCACACAGCCGTGTGCCCCCAGGGAGGGCTGCAGCTCTTCTGTGTCCCCTAGGTGCTGGAGACCTGCGTGGCCACGGTGGGCCGCGTGTCCAACGTGGATCACAACAAGCGGGTGATCGGGAAGGCGGGCCGGAACCGCTGGCTGGGCAAGCGCCCGCACACGGGCTTGTGGCACCGCAAGGGTGGCTGGGCCGGGCGCAAGATCAAGCCTCTCCCCCCCATGAAAAGCTATGTCAACCTGCCACGGGTCAAAGCAGTGGAGTGATGCCCAGGGCAAATAAAGCGTTTTTCATGCCACTGCTGTCATATTACTGACGTGTTTTGTGCACAGGGCCTTTCCTCACTTTCCCACGGGTCAAGTTCTGCTGTGTTCAGTCCTGGCAGGCATGGGATTGGTGGGAGAGATGAGTGTGGGGCTGTGGACTGCCTTGGCTTGAGTTTGAGGTTGGTGGGTGACCCAGTGCGGTCACTTGGCACAATCGTGTCAAACCTAGCTGTAGGACACCCGAGCTCTTCTCTTGTGGAGGAGTGAAGGCAAGCGGATGGGAAGGTGGCTTCCAGCCAAGGTGACTGGGAAGCTGCGAATCGCGGACATCAGCTCCTCCCAGCCCCGGCAGCGCCTCACTGCTTCCTTGCCGCACTTCCACCGCCGGCCGCTGCTGCGTCCTTCCCTCTCCGCCTTCCCTTTCCCACCCTCTGCGCCCCAAGTGCCGCGCTGTGCTCCCTGTGCCTCACGCAGCCCGCAGCGCTGCCCGCTCCCGCAGCTCCCGTCCGGGCTCCCCGCTGCCGCCCGCCCAGGCCCCGCCCTCACGGCCGCCGTCGGGCGGGCTCTGCGCAGGCGCCCCGGCCGGAGCGGCGCGGGAGCGGTGCCCCGGCGCGGCCCCGCGGCGGAGGGAGGGCGGCGGGCCGGGCACGGCCGGGCGCGGCCGGCGAGCACCCCGAGCGGAGCCGAGCCGGGACGGGCCCGGGCCGTTTAAGGGAGGCCTCGGTCGCGGCCTCCGGCCGGCCGGGCAAGGGGTGCGGCAGCCGAACCGGGCCGGGTCCGGTGCTCGGTGCCCGGCGAGCTGTCGCTTTGCCCGCCCCTGGAAGGAGCTTTGATGCTGCCGCTGGCGAGGCCGGCCCGCAGGAGCCCTCTCCGTGGGGATGGCAGTGCCGTGCCGCCTGCCTTTAGCATGTGTGCCCCGGGCACAGGCCTGTCCCTCAGCGTGTCCCGGTCCCGCTGGGTGATGTGCAGCGGAGCCCTGCAGCGCAGACTGGCACTGGCCCCCGATCCAGCGTGTGTGGCTCGGGTAGCTCGCTCCATCTGCACACAGCCGGGTGTTACAGCTGAGCTTCCTGGGCACCGCTGTCCGCATTCCTGCCGTGCCCACAGTCTGTTTGACAGCCCAGAAATCACTGTGTTTTGCCCTGTTATCTTGTAACTACATAGATGTGGCTTTCCAAGGAGAAAGTGAGCCATATCTCATACTTGCTGTGTTAGGGTTGTACAGCCGGTATAAAAGCACATTTTAATGGCTGCATTGCCATATCACCAGCACTGTGACACACAGGAACACGGATCTCTAGCCATAGCATGCCTCAGCCACCTCTCCCCAGCTCCTGCTTCCCCTCTGTCTCTGCAGACACATCTGCTGCCATGGTGAATGAGAAGCACAATGGCACCCTGCTTGTGCAGCTGGGGCCCAAACTGCAGGCCCACCCAGAGAAGCTGCTGCGGCAGCGGCGAGGCCACGACGAGCGGCCGGAATACCTGGTCCGGTGGAGCGTTGTTAGCTTGGAAGAGAGAGCGGCGGGAGGCAGCAGTGCCTGCTCTGGAGAGAGCAAGGCAGAGAACATCTCCCTGTGGATGTCTGCAGAAGAGGTGTGCGCCAGCTGCCCGGCGCTGCTGGGCCAGAGGAGGCCGGAGGGGCCGAAAGAGGAGAAGGCGCCCGGTGCCTTGTCCGCGCTCATCCCGCTGGACGAAGCCTCGCTGCTGGAGATGAAGGCCGATGTCAGGAGCCTGGTGCAGCGAGCCGGGCGCCAGGTGGCCGAGGCCGGGACCCCCGAGTGCTCCATCCTGAGCACGGTGCACGTGCTGGGCGCCTACGCCAGCATCGGCTCCCTGGCGGGCGCCTTCAGGGAGGCGGGAGCCCTGGAGCTGCTGACGGCCATGCTGTGCCACCGGGAGAAGCGGATCCGCCGCGGTGCCGGCGAGATGCTGCGCGCTCTGGGCGCTCAGGATGCAGGTGGGGGCTGCTCCTGCTCAGTGCCACGAGGGGTGCTGGGCAGCTGAGGGGTGCCAGGCCTTCGGGAGGGGTGAGATGCCTGGGAAGCAGCATGGCTCAGGGCTTCTTGGCAGAAGGGGAAGAATCAGTCAGGATCTTCCGGACTTTCATGGTTGCAGTTGTCTGGACTGCTCTTGGAGTTAGAAACTCTTTCCCCTGCCAGGTTTCTGAGCTGGGATGCTGATTAACTCTTAGGAGTTGAAGGAATGTAAAGGGTGGTTGTCTCCTACCCAGCACCTCTCCTGCTCCACTGCTGGAGCCCAGCCTGGGGAATCTGGAGTTTCTCAAGCTGAGAGATGCAGCTGCCACTTTCCCATTTGCAGCTTCAACCAGTAGCAAAGCTGACTGCCCATCGTGGAGCACAGACACAGGCAGCAGACACTTACAGCACTCACATAAACACAAACACAGCCAGCCATGTTCCCTCCTACTCTCTGCTCTTTGTCTGGCAGAGACAGAAGGTCACTCCTGCCAGGACACACTGCATTTTCCAGGTTCATAAGTACACACACATTCATGGATCCCTTGGGTACCAGCATGGCCCCTCTCTCCTGAACACGTGCCTGGATCCAAGCCCTTCTACCAGTCTCAGGGATCGCCCTGCTCATCAGTTTGTTAAGCTGGGTGCTTGCTAGTAAGCCTGTAGCACTTTTGTTCCACAGTCCACATTCACACATCCCTTGGGACTTCCAGCACCAGCCCCCACCCACCTCATACCTCAGTCTGGACCCAGGACCTCATCCTTGCTCTTCCAGCATGAAGTTGCTAATGAGTTACATGCACAGCAAGGTTGGGAAAGATGCAGACACTCACCCTTTCCCACTGGCCCCAGGCATGCAGTCCTGCTTCAGCTTCTCACTTGCCTCCCTTCCAGCAGCTGTTCTTCAGAACACACACTGTTCTCTCCCCAGTGGCTGATGACTGAGGATCCTGCCAGCTCCAGGCACTGGCACTGGAGAGACCCTTGCACTTGCCCCAGTAGCTGGCACGTCAGGCCAGGGACTCCTACACCCCTGATCAGACCTGAGTAATTTGATCTGGGTCAGCTGTACACCAGTCCTCCTGATAACTGGTATTCCAAGCTCAAATCTGTGATTTGATCCAGAGAGTGATGGCACCTCCAGCTGTCACTCACTCCCCTGACTGACTCCACAGGGCTCCCACAGCCCCAGTAAGGCTCCAGTTCGTGGTACCAAATGCCACTCGTGCAGGTCTCACCAGCAGCTGGCACTCGGTCTTTGCAGCACACACACAGGGTAGAGAGAGACTTAGTAAAGATTCAATAAGAAAGTAGGACAGTGTCAATCAGGTACAGGACTGTCAGACAAACACACTGACCAGCTGTGGTTTAAACATGACTGGCCCCTTTTATAGCCCTTTCTCTGCACCCCCTTTATGTTCCTTGCCAATTCCAATTAATCAGATAATCTTACTGAAAAATAATCATTCTCACATGCCAGATGTCCTTACTAATTGTTGTCCAGATGTCCTTACTAATTGTTATGACTGACCAGATTTGTTACTCCTCACTGCATCCATTAGCACTTGTCAGTCAGGTTTGTTATTCTTTATGTTCTTGTTTATGGCTTCCTTCTTACTTCGACTTTTTGCAATGAAAAGGTCCTTGACTGGATACACTTAGAGGAAAAAGCAATCTCCTTCCATGTAGCCTTGCAATGAAGACCAGTGCCAAAGGGCCTGACACAACCCTGGTGGGTAGAGGCTGGTCCTCATCCAGTTCTCTCATTTAAGAGGAGCTGTCATGGCTTGGAAGTGCCTGATGAGGCTTGGGTGCACCTGGAAGGTTGCTGGTTGTGGTGTATCCCACAGGAGATCTGGCTTTCCCTGTCCTAGTGCCTGAGTTTGTGCAGCTCTGAAGTGGGGCAGATGAGGGGCTGATTCAGGTTAAAACTTGACTTCTTTTCTTCCCTGGGACCCTGTTCTGGAATCAGTTATTTGGGGTTGCTGCTTTGTGAGAATCTCTCAGCTTTAGGGGTAGGAAAAAAACACCGTGGAGCAAAATGTTGCCACTCCAGAGGAAGGGACAGAAGGTGGATCAGGTGACACCGAGCAGCAAAGCTGTTCCTTCCCTGCAGCTCTGTGTCTCACAGGGAGGTGGGGTGAGGGCTGTCTTTCTGGGGCCTGAAGAGTTTTTGTTGTTGTTGCAGGAGTCTGGGCCCATGTCCTGCTGTCCCTGAGCCAGCAGGATGGCATTGAGCAGCACATGGACTTTGACAGTCGCTGCACCTTGCTGGAGCTGTTTGCTGAGATCACGTCCTCTGCAGAGCACTGCATGTCCTTCGAGGGGATTCACCTCCCGCAGGTGGTGCCGGACCCGCCAGCAGCCCTGGGGCACGAGGGGCCAGGAGGGGTGGGAGTGGGGGGCCAGGGCTGGCACCCTTGTCTGGGACAAGAGGGGAGTTGAAGGTGGGCAGGTGAGCAGGACTGGCTGTCGGGAGAGCTGGCTCAGGGCCTGGGCCTGGTGAGGGGCTGGGGGTGGTGCAGAGGCAGCTGCAGAGCCTGGTCTGCCAGCAGGGAGGGGAGGGTGGGCTCAGAGGTCTCTGCTGCTGCCGGCTGGTCCGGAGCTCTCCCGGGAGCCTGCCTGGGAATGAGCTGGTGGCTCAGAGAGAGCTGGGGGCTGGAGGTGCTCTGCAGGCTGAGTGTGAGAGCTGTGCTTGTTGCAGATCCCTGGGAAGCAGCTGTTTGTCCTGGTGAAGCGCTACCTGTGCGTGACTTCTCTCCTGGACAAGCTGAGCAGTGGCGTGGAGCAGGGAGAGGAGCAGCAGGGCTGTGCTGTGCCCGGCCCTGTCCCTGAGGAGAGGAGCCGTGTGAAGCAGGAGTTTGAGTTCAGCATGGCCATGGCAAACCTCATCTCGGAGCTGGTGCACGTGATGGGCTGGAGCCACAGGCACAAGGCAGAGCCGCTGGGCCAGCGGGACCTGCAGCCTCGCCCTGCCCGCTCCATCTTCCAGCACAGGACCCCGGCCAGCACTGCTGCCGAAGCAGCCCCCGCATCCCCAGCAAAGGAGCCCGTGACCTTCAAGACGCGCTCGGCCTTCCCGAGCCGCAGCAGCTACGTGGAGTACGTGCAGGCCACGCTGGTGAGCGGCATGCGGGTGCGCATGCTCGAGGACTACGAGCAGGTCAGCGCCGGCGACGAGGGCGACTTCCGCCGCAGCAACGACGGCATGCCCCCGGTGCAGGTATTGCTGCAGGGGGAGCAGGCGCTGCCAAGGGGCTTGTCTGCTCTCCTGTGCAGCCTTGCATGGGGACAGTGGGGTTGGGTTTGCCTTCTGCCAGCTGGGTGTGTTCTGGGCTCTCCTCCTCAGGTGTACTGGCAAGCTCTGGGCTGTACGTACTGGGTTCACTGGCACATGGTCGAGATCATTGGCCCTTCAGAACAAAAGGAGCTTGAGGGCCAGGAGAAGGTGAACACCCTGACACGAAACCACAGACTGAGAGCAGGTGAGTAGCCCATCGGTCTCCTTCAAGCATATTCCAACTCTCCCACTGCCCTCCTGTCAACTTCCTTTCTCCCAGCAAGCTATGGTATAGTGGGGACCTCTTCTGACCACCATGAGTTCTTTCCTTGGGGAATGAGGAGTGTGCAGCACAGGACGGGGGAGTTGGCAGAGCTGACAGTGCCCTTCCTTGCTCTGCTCCCCTGCAGTTCCACAGCCATTCCTGTGCAAGCCCTTGGGGGGGCTGTACTCCCTGCCTTACCTGGGCCAGCGGCTGCCCAAGGCTGCAGACACGCTGAGCCGTGCCGAGTGGTGGGAGCTGCTCTTCTTTGTGAGGAAGCTGGAAGCACAGGAGCAGAAAGAGATCACCTGTCTCATCCAGCAGCACCAGGGAGAGCAGGTAGGGGCCAGTGCCTGCAGCAGGGAAATGGGAGGGAGGAGCAAAGGGAACATTAGGGAGGAGATGGCAAGTGTGGGCTGTGCAGGAACAGCCTGAACGGGGCAGAAATGGGAGGGTGAGTGGGGATGGTGAAAGCTTGGAGAGCTCGGCAGAGCAGTGAGTGTTGATGAGAGGAAAGGCAGTGTCCCCTGACTGGAAGAGTGACTGTCCAGCAAGGTTTGGGCAGGCGAGGCAAGGCCGTGGGGTCATTCTGCCAGTTGCAGCTGGGTGGTGAGCACGGGTGGGAGGTGTGGGCTGGTGGGAGTTGGGCCGGGGACAGGCAGGGGAGGGTGGCAGTGGGGAGTGGCCCTGGGCACCTCTGGCAGTGCAGCCTTTCTGTCCGTGGTGGCAGTGGCCGCCACAAGGGGCATGGGGTGCGTGGGGAGCCCGAGATTAACTTGTCCCCTGGGTGTGGCTGTCGGAGGTGGATGAAGAAGCCCTGGTGCAGCTGTCGGTCCCTGCGGAGCTGGCCCAGAAGGTGCTGCAGGTCCTGGAGAAGCGGTGCCAGGGCAGCTCTCTGCGTGACCTGCGTGGCTCCCGTGTCTACGCCAGACGCTTCCTCGGAAGGGGAGCAGAGCAGGATGGTGGAGGGAGCACCGCAGTGTCCTCAGAGGGTGACAGGAGCACTGGCCCTGAAGGCACGATGGCCAAGGCAGCGGAGGGAGACCTTTCTGCAGCCCCAGGGCCGCAAGGCTGCAGTGTGGCAGTGAAGTCAGATTCCCAGCTGTTCAGCGAGCTCTTGGAGAGGGAAGGGCTGTTCCTGCCAGAGGTGACGGAGGAGCAGATCCAAGGTAATGTCCTGCCACACGTCGGGGCACAGGCGCGGTGCTGGCAGCGGCACTGCTGCCCCCCCAGGGGAAGGCTCTGGGCAGGGCATGGGGGCCACGCAGGCAGGGCTGCCTGAAGTGGAGGTGCCTGTGGGCGCTGGGTCTGAGGGTGTGTGGCACCCTGGGAGCTGCTGGAGGCGTCACGGCTGCCCTGACGCCTCCGTCCCTCCGGCCAGCGCTGGGCAGCTCCAAGGGGCTGAGCGAGAGCGGCTCGCTGGCCAAGGTTGCAGCTGTGGTGGACGTGATCCAGAGCAGCAGCTCAGCGGTGGGGCTGCGCTTAGCTGGGCTCAAGCACATCCTGAAGATGCTGGAGGAGGAGCCCAAGTCGGAGCAGCAAGGCGGCACAGCCCAGGGCGGGCTGGGCATCGGGAGTGCTGGGTGAGTGCTGGGGTGCTGCACACCCCTCCTGCTGCCTGAGGGGGCCCTGTGGGCAGGGTGGGGGACGGTGCTGGGCCGGAAGAGTGCGAGGTGGCAGCGGGAGTGTGAAGGGTGGCGTGTGTGAGAGGAAAGGTGGATTTTGTGTCCCTTTGTGCCAGGCAGGCTCATTGGCAGGGCCGTCCCAGCTGCAGCGTGGGCAGGAAGGAGGTGGCTGTCAGGGCCCAAGGAGGCCGTGCCTGAGGTGTCCTGTCCCATGCAGGGAGAAGCTGGTGCAGGTGTCAGTGGAGCTGCTGAGCACGGAGGTGTCAGAGAAGGCGCTGGTGGCGGTGACGCTGCGGCTGCTGGCCGTGCTGCTGGCCCTGTGCTACGAGTGGCGCGTGCCCTTTGCCACGGAGGGCGGCGTGCGGGCCGTGCTGGGCTGCATGCAGCAGCACGGCTGCTCGGCCCTGGTGCAGCAGGCCGGGCTGGCGGTGAGTGCCGGGGCGTGCCGGGCTGGGCAGGGAGCGCGGGCTGCCCCGGCGGGCTGGAGGGGCCGCTGCCCTGCGCGCTGCTCTCGTCCTCGCAGGCCCTGAAGGTGCTGGTGGGAGCTGCGGACGCCGAGCCGGGAGGCGCCGGAGGGAAGTGCTTGCCCTGGAACCACGGCGATGCGCAGATGATGCGGGAGATCTTTGCCAGCATCGGCTCTGCCTCCAGCAAGGGCTCTGCCAGCCTGCTGAGTAGCATCCCTGCTGCCCTGAGCACCATGCAGAGGGTCCCAGGGTAGGGGCCGAGCGTGGAGAGCGGCTGAGGTTGGCCGGAATCTGCAGGGGGAAGGACGGGCAGGGCGGGCAGGTGGCTTGTGGGTGCAGGGGAGGCTCTGTGCCCGGCGGAGGAGAGTGGCACGGCCGTGTCCCTGCAGGGGCTCCTCAGGAGTGCAGAACGGCCTGCTGGTGGTGAACATGCTGATGGACGGGCACCGGGGCCTGGCGGAGCAGCTGGCGAGCTGCGATCTCCTGGCGGTGCTGCAGAGCTGCTGGAGGGCCGGGCAGAGCAGCGGCTGCCCCCAGGCAGTGCTGGCCCTCAGCGCCATCAATCGGCTGGCAGAGCACGGGCTGCCCCTGGGCCCGGAGGCAGCAGGTACCGTGCTGCCCACCCTGCCCGTGCCACGGCCCCGCGGGTGCCACGGGCGGGACTGCCCGGCCCGACGGGGCAGAGCACCCTGAGGGGCTGCTGCCGCTCGAGCGAGCGCCTGGGCTGGGCTCACTTGTCCTTGTCATGGCAGGCAGAGAGCTCCTGCTGGACCCCAAGGGCGTGCAGATGCTGCTGGGTGGCCTGGACGATGGCGTCCTGTCCAAGGAGGTGGTGGTGGCCCTGGAGCGGCAGCTCTGCAGCCAAGGCCCTGTTCCCTCTGGCCAGGTGGCCCAGCTGCTGCAGGACCACAGCTGCTTCCGGCTGTTGCTGCGCAGCTTGGAGCTGCTGGGGACAGAGAAGGCCGTGAGCCTGAGCATCCTCAGGTGGGTGCAGGGTGACTGAGCGGGGTCTGGGACCCCCTCATGAGGTGTGTGAGTGCTGGGGGTCATGGTGGGGAGACCCAGTGCATGTTTGTGGGTCCTGGTGGGGCTGTTCTTCCCTGGGGGCAGGCACACCCCAGTGCATAGGCAAGTGCCAGTTGGTGTGTCCTGGGGCACAGGGCCACGTGGGGCTACAGCAGCTGTGCCTGGTGCTGGTGGGGGCCTGCAGGGGCAGCAGAGGACATGCCTGGGTGCTGGTGGGGTGTGCAAGGTGCCAGGGGAGCCTTGGTTCCCAGTCCCTGAGAGGTGCCTTCCAGGTGGGGCAGGGAAGCAGGGCTGCCTGCAGGACTGCTGTCCCTGTGGCCCAGCCTGAGCAGGCCCCCTCCGTCACCAGGATCCTGAACAAGTTCCTGGACAGTTACCAGGAGGATGTGCTGCCCTGGCATGAGTGTGTGGAGCCCTGCGTGTCCTTCCTGATCACCCACAGCAGCAGCTGGGAGGTGAGGGGGCCCCGGGACTCGTGGCAGGCAGGGTGGCTGTGCTGGCTGTGCCTCAGCCGGGCTGGGCAAGCAGGGCCCCGCTGGTGGCAGCCTGGCCTTGTGTCTGAGGCACTGGGAGGTGGGGAGCGGCTGTCCTGGCCGTGTCTGTGTCCTGGTGGCCACATGCCCAGTCTGGCTGTGCCTGGCCAGGCTCTGGTGGGTGCTGGTGGGGCTGGGATGAGGGGAATGGAGCTGCAGCTCCGGCTGCTGGGGGCCCCGGGGAGTTGCCAGCAGTGCCCGTCTGCTCACGGCTGCGTCTCCGTAGGTGCTGCAGGAGGTCGTTGGCTTCCTGCACCGCCTGGGCAGTGCCAGCAAGGACTGTGTGGTGGTGATGTGCCACGTGGGCACCCACGAGGCTCTGTCCAAGGCCCTGGAAAAGCACAGCACGGTGCCGTCGTTGGCGCCGGCCCTGCTCGAGCTGGTGGCGGAGTGTGAGAAGTACGCCAGCCTCCACAAGAAGCTGACGAGCAGCATCCTGGCTGGCTGCATCCAGGTGGGCAGGGGAGGCACGGCTGCCTGGGAATTTGGGTCTGGGGGCATCAGGCTGTCCCTGCTGCCAAGGGATGGCCTTGTGCTAGGGAGCCCAGCCCCCTGGCACAGCCCTGTGGGGGGGGGGCATCAGGCTGTCCCTGCTGCCGAGGGACGGCCTTGTGCTCCCTGCCTGGCACAGCCCTGTGGGGACTGAAGGGAGGAGGACCTGGGGCTTCTGGTAAGAGCCTTGCCCCATGCCACAGCTGGTCCTGGGACAGATTGAGGAGCACCGCCGGAGCCACCAGCCCATCAGCATCCCCTTCTTTGATGTCTTCCTGCACAACCTGTGCCAAGGTGAGTGCAGGCAGGGGGTGCTGACCCCAGTCTTGGTGGCTGGAAGCTCCATGTGCTCTGCCCACAGGCTCCAGCATGGAGGTGAAGGAGGACAAGTGTTGGGAGAAGGTGCAGGTCTCTTCCAACTCGCACCAGGCCAGCAAGCTCATGGACAGGAACCCCAGGACCTACTGGGAGTCGAATGGCAGCACCGGCTCCCACTTCATCACTGTGCACATGCAGTGTGGAGTGGTGATCAGGTGGGGCTGGGCCAGCAGGGCTGTGTGTGGAGGAGAGGGCTTTGGGGATGTGTGCCAGCCCTGCCACAGTGGCCCCGTCCCAGGACAGCAGGAGGAGGCTGGCAGGGCGTGGTGCCCTCAGGACTGGGGCAGGGAGGCGGGAATGGCTGGGCAGCCCCGTGTTTGCTGTGCTGCAGGGAGCTGAGCATGCTGGTGGCCAGCGAGGACTCCAGCTATATGCCATCGAGGGTGGTGGTGCTGGGCGGGGACAGCCCTGCCACCATCAGGACGGAGCTCAATGCGGTGAGTCCCCGGGGGAGTGGCGGGCTGGTCCTTGCTGTGGCCCGTGGAGGTCTGGCTGTGGTGTGAGGCCCGGGGAGGTGCCCTCGGGGAGGTGGGAATGGCAGGAGCTGCGCTGTGGGAGCTCCTTGGGCTGCCTGTCACGCTGAGGGCTCGGTGCCTCCCTGCAGGTGACCATCCTGCCCTCGGACAGCAGAGTGATCCTGCTGGAGAACATGACCCGCTTCTGGCCCGTCATCCAGATCCGGGTGAAGCGGTGCCAGCAGGTAGGGGAGCAGGGGCTGGGCCTGGCAGCGGGCAGTGCGGGGCGTCGGGGCCCAGCCCGAGGAACTGAGGGTCCCGCTGTCCCGTAGGGTGGCATTGACACACGTGTGCGTGGCATCGAGGTGCTGGGTCCCAAACCCACCTTCTGGCCCATCTTCAGGGAGCAGCTGTGCCGGCGGACGTTCCTCTCCTGCACCGCTCGGGCTCACGCCTGGAGCCAGGAGATCTGCCGAGACCGGGGGCGGCTGCTGCAGCTCTTTGGCAGGTGAGTCGTGTCCTGGCCGTGCCATCGCATCCCTGGTGTCCCAGGGCCCGGGGGGGACATGGCTGGCAGCCTGCGAGGGGACTGCAGGGCTGGGAAAGGAGCAGCTGGCTGTGGCACCTGGATGGGAGGGGCCCTTGCTTCTCCCTGGCCACCTGTGGTCCTTCCTGGCCAGGGCCACCTTGGGGTCATCTGGGTTTAAGCTGGGCTAACCCCCAGGGCAGGATGCTGGTCCCCCCAGGGGCTGGCACATCCTGACAGAGGTTGGCCAGGCACAGCAGGATCTCGTGGCCATAGGCACTGCACAGCCCCCATTTGGCAGGAGCTGTGAGGGCCCTGAGGGCCATTGGGGGCAGGCCCCGGGGACACCAAGGGGCCCTCCCTGGCTGCTGGGGGCCAGTGGGGCCAGGGGGCCATCGTGCCTTGGCAAAGGGCAGAGCAGGGAGCCACCACTGCGCTCTGCTTTGCCGTGGGAGTTCTCCAGCCCTTGGCACCGAGTGCTGCCCGGTCGCTTTGCAGACTGAACCGGGCGCTGCAGCACGAGCAGGGCTTTGCCAACCGCTTCCTTCCCGACGACGAGGCAGCCCGGGCTCTGGGCAGGACGTTCTGGGAGGCCCTGGTGAACCCCTTGGTGCAGAGCATCACCAGCCCAGGTAGCCTGCGCTCTCCGGGAGCCAGCCGAGCCGTGCCCCAGGCAGAGGCACCTGGCTGAGGGTCTGGTTGGCCTCGCAGACCCCGATGGTGTCAGTCCCTTGGCCTGGCTGCTGAGTGAGTACCTGGAGAGCGTGGAGCTGCCCCGCCGTGCCACGGGACGCAGGGCTGCCTTTGGTTCCTGCGTGCGGCGCCTGACCCAGCTCCTGGTGCACGTGGACCCCGGCGGCCCCGAGCCAGAGGAGAGCAGAGCAGCTGGTGAGCCAGGGACTGCCCTGCCCTGGGGCTGCTCCGGAGTGCCAGGCTGTGGCCATGGGGCTCCTCTGGGAGCATCCTGTGGCACAGAGGCTCCTGAGCCTGGGAAGGCTTGTGGCTATGCCCCAGCAGTGGCCGTGCCTCCCCAGCGTCCCCTCAGCCCTGCTGTGGCAGGTCAGTGTGCGGGGCCTGCCCACGGAGCCACACTGAGCCTGAGACTGACCCTTGGCAGGTGGGAAGCAGGGGAAGAACAAGGAGGTGCCGGCCAGGACTGCAAAGGCGGTGGTGGAGAAGTCGAGAGGCCTGCGGGGAATCTCGCAGTGCTGGCGTGGCGTGGTGCAGCAGCAGGTAGAGCTTGGAGGGCTGACTGGAATGGGTATGGGACCTTCCCTGGGTGGTTGGAGCAGGGAGTGGGGTCTGGCAGTGCCCTGGGAGCATGGGGAAGGCACAGGGCTGTACCTGGCCTCCACAGAGCCTGGAGCGATGTGGGGACAGCCCTGCTGCGCCTGCCACCCCGGCATGGCTCGAGTGTCAGCCAGGCCAGGAGCCAGGTCCGGTGTCGGGCTGTTATTTCCTGCTGGGCTGCTGCTGTGTCTCCGTAGTGCCCCCACAGCCCCTGGGCAGCCCTCAGAGCTGCGCTCCCACCTTGGCAGTCCCGCAGCAGCAGCAGCAGCAGCAGGGCCCCGAGTCCCGGGGAGCAGGCAGCTGGTGTTGGCAGGGCAGGCTGGGGATGTTCCGAGGGCACATCCCGCTGCGGCTCAGCCCTCGCGCCGCTCCCGCAGGTGCAGCGGTTCCTGGAGGCGGCGGGGCAGGCGCCGGACCTTGCGGAGCGCTACTGCCGGCTGTACCGGCGCCTGCGCGGGGCCACGGAGGAGCTCTTCGGGCAGCAGGCCGCCTTTGTGCTGGCCCTGGGCCAGGGCTTTGCGGGGGCTTTGCTGCAGCTCTCCTTCCTGACTGCCCTGCACGTGAGTCCAGGGAGCGCGGCCCCGGTGCCGTGGCCTGGGCAGGGGCTGGGGAGCTGCCCTGGCCCACGGCACTGGGACAAGCTCTGGGTGGGTGGTGTCCTGTTCCCCCTGAGCCACAGAACCCTGCTCTGGCACCCCGGATGGTGCCCAGCTCAGCCTTGGGCTGGTGCCTGGGCACCCTCGGCCCCTGCCTGGGAGTGCCAGAGTTTCCCGGCTGCTCCCTGCAGGGACATTCCCCCAGCCCAGCCCTGTGGGCACCTGGTGAGTCCTGTCTGCAGCCAGCCTGTCCCTTGCAGGTGAGCGAGCAGTTTGCCCGCTACCTTGACGTGCAGATCCAGGAGCTCCGCAGGGCCGTGGGCAGCACGGGGCCTCTGGAGCGGCTGCAGCAATTCTTGGAGCCCTTTGTCGTCTTCAGTGGCCTGGAGTTTGCCCACACCTTTGAACACTTCTACAGGTGAGGCTGCTGCGTCTCCCCAGAACCAGGGGCCTGCTGCAGCGTGGCCTGGTGTGCTGTGGGAGCTTGGCCTGCTGTGGCAGTGCTGCCCCTGCTTTGCTTTTACGGGATCATGGAGTGTGGAGGGCCCGTGGATGCTGCCAGTGTGTGGAATCACATTCCCTGCAGGGGACAGGGAGGGGACAC